TCTGAGCAGACTCTGTGAAGAAGGCAGGACACCACTAAATGCTCTACAACATGGAAAGACCCCAGAATCCACAGCTGCTCCTTACTCCAGGATCTACCACTCCTGTGGACTGTCTTCCCCTAAATTCAGTTTAGTCATTTGAAATTGATCGTTGTGAATACTTTTATTAGTTAATATTCTCATTTCCACTCTGAAATGGTGAATATTTATGAAATTCTACATCTTTGAGAAGAATCACCCCATTTCTTGAGCACACAGACTCAAGTTACTTAAATGATTGTCTATTTCATATTCTTGGTGCATACATTTGCAATTAGCTATGCCAAGCATTTTTCTTTTACTTAACATCACCATCATCAAATAGTATTTATTAAGCACAAACCGGGCTAAATTAATTTTGTACAGAGTAACATTCTTAAATGCATTCTCTCTGTTTAAAACAAGAGTCCTTTCATAATCCATCAAGCCATCTACCTGATATGTAACATTTCTGTTAGAAAAAAAAAAAAAGAGCTCTTGAATTTAAATTTTTATCTTATTATTTCAGATCTTCAATAGTGTATCTTCCACTCCTAACATCAGCATATTCAAATGTAAAAAGGGCCAGCAAGAACTGGTGCTATACATTGCATGCAAGTCTTATGTGTATGGCAGTGTTGATGTATTCCCTAAATTTAAGAAAAAAAAAAGTATCTTTTCTAAAAATGATTCTAGAAAAAAAGGCGATCTAGGTAAGCATAAGCAATACGTATATAAAATAAATAATAAAATAAAAATATTTTGAGTTTTATGTACGATAGTTCATTAGAAGCAAAGCGAACGAAAGCTATTGAACTTGAAAATGTTTAGCAAATGAGTCTTCAAAGTGACTATAGAGACTTTGAGCGACCTTGGAGAAAATACAAAGTGAGATGTTAACACAGATTTGGAAAAAAAGGATATATTTTCAAATGTAAAACTGACTTTTTCTACTTAATAGCAACAACAGCACATTTCACTTGAAATTCCAAGCACAAGAATGAATTTGAGAAAAGCATCCTCAAGGACACTGTAATTTCATCCTAGTCGCGGTTCTTGGGTGTAGAGAAGTGAACACATATTTTTATATTTGGCATATTTTGTTTCTAGAAGCAATCACAATATGCTTTGGGGGGGGGGCAAATACCCAGGAAGAATGACAGAAACTAAAATAAAAGTAGAAGCTTGTAACAGGTGCTACTGGGTGAGCCTATCAGCATCAGTGCTCGGAGAAGCAGCCCGGTGCTGGTGTGGTCCATGGCACTCTGTGAATGATGCGGTACAGCTCGCAGTGGTGCCTTAGGGGACTCTGAAAGGAACTCCAGATGCCACGTTTCTGGATGTCATTTCTCTTGACACTTTGTGTGTGTGTGAGAGAGAGTGTGTGAGTGTGTAAGTGTGTGTGTGTGTCTGGGTCTGCGTCTATGTGTGAGAATTGCATGTGTGAATACACCAAAAAGACTGAGTTCCAGTATCCCCGTGTATGCTTGCTCATGTAGGCACATGTGCAGGCCAGAGGCTGGCATCAGGGGTCTTTCTTCAACCATTTCTCCTTCCATGGGCATTGGTTCTTCTTTCCCCTTACTGTTCTTGGGCATCTTTTTTTTTACACTGTATGTTCAATGTTCTTAGTTAGTTAAGTATTTGGAGAGTTTATTCAGCTTGCTCTGAGAATAGCTCAAGTACTTGAATGTTTCCCAAAGAGCACCCAGGTAGCTGCAAGCTTTTAGTAGCAAATGGAGGTTTGCCTTTTTTAATTAGAAATGACTCGAAGAGGAAATGAGAGGCACGAAAGCAGTAGCCTGGTAGGTGAGAGCAGAGACACGAGGCCTTCAGTTAGAATCAGAGTCATTCTGAGATTATGCATCTGGCACATAGCCGGCCAGCCTTTGTTCATATCAACAGACGTTCCCAGGAGAATACGCATGCAGGATCCACAAAAGAATTTGGTCATACTTTTCAAAGTAGTTTAGCTTTCAACAATCCACCTTCCCTTAAGGGAAAAATACCTTGAGAACCAATTAGTGGTCTTAAGGGCTGGGAGACAAAGACAGAGCTCCAGTAGAAAAAAAATATTTTGTTGATTTCAGGGAAAATCCTAGGGCCAGATGCTAACATGGATGTCCCCAGTGCTCATCTTTCCTGCTCCAGGGACACTGCAGTCTACATTTGTTCCTCTTCAACCGGGACAGGAACAAAGTCTCCAAACAATATTTGTAAGACATAATCCAGATTCATGGAACAGGTGGTAATTTTCTGAGGGTAACAGTGGATTATCAGACTAGCAGGGAAAAAGAATGGAAAAACACAATTTCCTTCCTCTTAATCCGGTTCCTTGTTGAATGAAGCTCAGGCCTCTATTCTGCACCGTGAAAGAGGTAAACAGGACAAATGGATACTAACCATTCACAACAAGGCTAAATGGACGATTGATGCCTCCTACTGTTTAAGATCAGTCACAGATATGCTGCCCAGTGGATTTTAATGGTGTTATTGTCTGACTCAGCAGACCCATGTCAGAATGGCAATTTACATAAATGTAAAGTGAAATCTCTCTGCAAGAAACGGGACTGTCAGAAACTGCTTAAGTAAGGAGCTGCTCACTTACACAACAGATTCCCATATTAAACTACACTCCAATATTTGCTGGAGCTGAGGTTATTACTCATTTAAAAAAAACAAAAAGCAAAAGCAAAGATGTTTGCCTTAAATTTCCAAGAAGTTGTCTCAGTTTCAGTTTCCCTCGGAATAAATTCTGCAAAAAGAGCTGTCATTAGAAATGAGGAGAATAGTAGTGAGTGGGCGTCCACAGACAGAGCAGCTGTCCTCAAACATACAGCACACTTCGGCAGCTTGCTAGGAAGGCTGAACATCATGGAAGACTATGGCAGAGAGTAGCCCCTGACTGCAGGTACACAACTAGGTTCTGAAAAGAATCTGTACTGTAGAGCAGCGGAGCACAGGCTATGGAGTCTGATTTTATATTCAGCAAGTACAGGTTATCTCATAATAGTTGAGCCTAGAAATTGCTGTCATGTACAATCCCTCTTTTGAAAAAAAAAATGACATAATAAAATGAATAAAATTAGAGAATCCATTTAAATACGTATCGTGGTGCCTAGCATATGTCAAGCAGTAAGCATACTAGTTGTTAACGTTGCTGGCATTACTGTTACTCTCTTTCCATACCATTCCTGGTTGGATTATTTGAGATGCATTAGAGAGCATTTGAGAGTATTTTAGAGTCATTCATAGATCTCATTGCTCTACCAATCTTTGTACTAACAGTTCCACTGTGATGACCATATTCTCTTCTGCTTGACCTTGGATTCAGTCTTATGACTACTGTCAACAGTTTTTTTATGTGTGTTCTGACAGTGTACAACCTTCAGAGTCCAACCATTGTGAGGTATCTCCCATTGCTACTAGCCCTCTGATACTGGTTAGCCTGCTGCCAAAGGGTTGGTAAAACATGCAGACCATATTATGGCTGTAGACCTACAGTGTAACAGAAAACACCCAACTGCACCAGAACCTCTACCATCATCATCAGCTGCCCTGCAGAGCCAGCAATAAAAGCTTAGTGATGAGATCACTGAACCTGGATGATTATCAATCGCGTGACACTAACTGTAAAACTGACTGAACGGGAGAAAGAAATTAAAGAGTTTCCAATCCATAGTGCAAATCCCATGTTCTAAGGAAGAAGCCATCAGCTTAGTGTCTAAGTTGAAGAAACAGCAGATGTAGGGGGATGCACAAAGACAGTGTTTCTGCAAAGCGAGAATTCTAAGACCTGGCTAGTCTTGCAAAGTCTGAGTGGGCCTTCCCAGCTTTGGTGTGAGGGGACACATAGAGTCAACAGTAAGATTATTTGCATTGGTTAACACCTATTAAAGGCTTTGGTAGACACTGAGCTGAAACTATCCCAGTGGTTCCCAATCTTCCCAATGCTGTGACCCTTTAATATAGCTCCTCAGGTGGTGGTGATACCCAACTGTAAAATTATTCCATTGCTACTTTATAACTGTAATCTTGCCACTGTTACAAGTTGTACCATAACTATCTGACATGCAGGATTTCTGACATGTGACTCCATAGGGTTCAGACCCTCAGGTTGGGAGCTGCTGCTCTATGTGTACTATATCATAGGCTTAGCCATAGCACTAACTCATAAGCACTACAGACTTGACTGACTTCCCAAATGAGGAAACCGGGGCCAGTTTAGAAGAGTATGTTTCCACAGGAAGAGAGAAATGAAGGCAGGATTCAGACTGCAGAACATCATTACATAGTATGAGTAGATGGTGATCAGGGCCTTTTTACATTAACCTTATTCCTCTCAGCCTATTGAATCCCTGGGGCCCTTTGGACTAGGTTTTGCAGGTCAGAAAAATGTGAAGCAACTAGCCAATATCCTTGCCCACAACTATTATACCTTATTAACAGCTTTGGCCCCACAGGCCACTCCAACGTGAAGAAGTAGGGCCATAATTATCTCAATCTTTCTGGAATTGTGTAATCTTATTCAAGTGCTTAAAGGCAAAGATGCATTCTGGCACTGTGGTTATCTTTAGGCGCACAGGATAATGGCTGACCTCTACTTTATTCTATAGTCTTCTTAGAACCCACTAAGCTTTCAGTTTTTGCAAACACCATTTTCCCATTTGCTGCTTTCATGTCAACTGGTTTCTAGTTTTGTTTTTCTGATTGTATAGTTTTAGGCACTACTCTGCTAAGGTATGAATCCAGAGGACTCTTAATGGAATAATGAAAATAATAGAAAACACAATGAGTTTCCTTGACTATCTTCAGAAGTACAAAAACAAGGAACTGTTCCTGGGATCTGTTCACACATACATATCCATGGTCTAGCAGGAAAGCTTCAATGGTTCCCATCCTTTAGAGATTGCCTTTATGTGGGCTTCCAAGCACAACAGCCAACCCAAGTCCCAGTATCCAGGCAAACATCACATCCTTACCTTGAAAGCAGCACCTCCATGGATGATAGATTTGATAAAAATCCCCAAGTCAGTGCCAGTTTCTCGAGATTTATTCCCTTTCAAGCTAACCCCAAGGCCAGCAGAGCCAGAGTCGTTCAGGGGGATCTCCAAGGTCAGCTGCTCACTTGTCTCCATGGAGAGTGCGCAACAATCAGGTTCTCCTTTCTGCAGGGAAGAGTGAAGAGAGGTGGGTTGGCGATCAGTTTACCTCCCCAGGTGCTGGACCACTAGCAGTTATAGCCCTGGCGGAGAGAAGCTAACCTGCTTCTCTCTGTAAGATGCTGTCCCCATATGTAATGCACAGCAAAATTCTCTCTCAGAATAGAATCTGGTGATGGTCAAGAAGAAAGGCCACTTTGTGAGGCCAAGTTGTACAACTTTAAGTTTTCTGTAGACATTTGGAAAACTATCAGGATATTTTAAATGATTAAATAGGTTGGATGTTAAACTCAACAAATGTCAGGTTTCAGAAGATTCTTAGACATCATTCATTCTCAATATCTTTGTCTCACAGATCTCTTAATATATAAAATTTGTGAAAATTTTGGAGAAATATTACACTTATATAATTTAAGACATATTATTCACTGTGGAAACTATAATATTGGTGAAGATTGTCGATAGGACATAAAGCACAGTAAAAATATCATTTTAAAGTTAGAGAAGTATTTCTAATGTCTATCACTGAATTTAATTTCATCTTATCAAAAATCACACTTTAAGCTTATATCTTGTATAGAAGAGCATCCTAAAAATAAATAAGTTCTTAGACTGCAATAAAAAGTAATTATGCATAATAAATATTCATGTCCTCTATGACAAATGACACCTACCCACTAGCAAACGAGTTTCTAAACAGACAGAGTGTGGTGACAAAAGGCAGGCTTATGGGCCAGCTCTCCTGGGAGACGTACATGGTGGTCACATTTGGTACAGAGGGTTTTCAGATACATAGCTGTGAGAATCGGCACTTGCTATGCACATGGTAATTGCGTAAGTGTCCCTCTTGCACCTCTTCAGGCTTGCAGGAATGTGAAAGTGCCACAGCGCTTAACTAGAAAATTTGAAAATGAGATATTGGTGAAAACCATCCACTCATTGTAGGCCAGCAGCTACTTCCTCTCTGTAATTATGTGGAGACTCTCATCTTAAGGTCACTTTGAGATGACTCCTCTGTAAAACTGAGTATTTGAAACCTCGTCAGGAGCATCTGGATGTCAGACTCAAATTCGTATAAAGTCAGAAGTAGCAAAGAACCCATAATTAAAACAGGATTAAGGGGTCTGATCATAGCCAGATCCACTGACCTGACACTTTCAACCCCTAGCAAAAAAAGACAAGAACCCACATTTAACTGGTGAAGAAATAGTTCTTTCAATCGCTCTCATCGTAAATGAGGTTTATTGGAAATATTCTGAGAAAAGGTTGTTCAAAGAAATAAAACTGCAGTGCTTAATTTAATAATTCTGTTGTAGGGTGTGTGTGTGTGTGTGTGTGCATACTAACTCATTGTATTAGCTAAGAAGCAAATTCTTTTCTGGAGTCAAAGATGCAATCCCTGGTTGATTTTTTGTTGTTGTTCTTTTCTTTTCTTTCCCTCACTGGAATGCCAGAGTTCAGCAGTAAAGATAAACAGTTAGCCTTCACCTGTATTTTCCAATATTCTCAATTTAGAATCCAAAACATTTTAGTCATTTATGTTTCTGGGCCTCTCTGGGATTGGGTTAATTTAAGTCTAATGAATTTTTGTAGAACGAAACTATAAATCAAAGGACAATTGTTCTCACAGTACTTGTGAAGAATTTAGGTTATAAAACTAGAAAGCTCTTTGGCTACTACTTACAGAAAATGATAAAAAAAAATAACTAACTCTGCTTTAGAAATACAGCTATATATTGTTTGAGAATTGTGCTAGGAGTTAATAAATACACTCCTGGGATCAATGACTTTGTATGGCAGGTATGTAGCGTCCTTACACATACCAAAAACAGCTTATAATACCATGTGGTGTATGACTATACCTCCAAATCACTCATTTTATGATCAAGGAGTTTTCATTTGACAACTGTATTTGATTAGTAAGATTGACACTCATTATTGTTTTTACTCTAACACCTTTAATTTGTCATGTAAGTGTGAAAACAAAATAGAGATCATGTGGAGTTATGGTTCCCTTTTCATTTCAAAGTTAAGTTCTTGACACGGGAGAGCCAGAAACAGAGTAAAAACAACCAAATAAGGCTAATGACAACAGAGCTGAGCCACTACAAGAACCTTCACATGGAGAGCACTTGGCTTCACAGTGACCCTACAGGTTTATTTATCATCAGGACTATTTTACAGACGAAGGGATCATGGAGCATAGCAGCCAGGCACTATGCTAACAGATCACAAGGCTTGAAAACACAGAAGCTTGGCAATGCCCAGGCAGCGTGACTCTTGGCTCAGACTCCTATTTATTTTTAGGGAAAGGTCAAGAGCTGTTTCTTACATGTCTACGTTGTCTAATATCCTATAGTCATTTTAAGGAAAGCACTGAAACTTGCCTGTGATATATGATTAATGATGATGTGAACTAGGCTGTAAATTTATTATCAAATGGTAGATGCTAGTATACACATTAAAATACGTACACAAGGCTGGGCAGATGGTTCGGATGGAAATGTGCTTTCGATCCAAGCAAAGGGCGCCAGTGAGGGATCCTCATCAGGATCTTAACACACCTATGTGCACATACGGCTATATACCACATAATACACACTTGCGCACATAAACATTAAACTTATTAACATTAAGCATCACCTCAGATACCTATTTTGGGGGGAGTGGGAGTAACACTTCTTAAAGACTGTTCCCAATGAATTTGAAGAATGTCGTACATTGTTTTGAGTTACATTCACATCCATTCCTGTAAGAACTGAAACTTTGTACCTTTTGACCAATACCTTTCCAGTCCTCTCGCCCTCTGGCAATCAGTATTTTGCCTTCTGCTTTAGAGTTTGATCTGGCCTCTTTTTAACCTTTTTGTTTCTGTTTTCTTTTTATCTCTTTCTTTTCTTTTCTCTTTTTGAAATGATGGGCTCTTGTTCCCCAGCCTGGGCAAGCTTCAAACTCATGCCAATCTTCCTGCCTCTGTCTCCTGAGAGCTGGGATTATAAATTTGGATCACAAGTGTGAGTAGCATGACTGGCAGCCTAATTCTTAACTGCTCTGCCACTATACATCCTTGTGTTCCAGATCTCTGACCCGCCATGGCATGATATAGTCACAGGACAGTTCAAGATAAATTCCTATAATGAAAGTAACATGATATGCAATTTATATTCTCTAGCTACTACAGATAGGCTTCACATCTTTGTTATGCTGTAACGGACTCAAGTCATAATTAGTGGTTTCTAATAATGGCAAATTCCCAATGGTGAAGGAAGCCATTAAAGTAGTTAACACAGCCATTTCCTCTCTTAGAAATAAATGTTCTTTCCCGAATGTTCAAAGAAAAAAAAATCAATATACTGAATGTCTCATACCAATAATCCTGGTTCGAACAGCAACTCTGAAAATTAAACTTAGACCTTGTCGGGCAATGTTCTGCAGTAGATGAGATGGTCTATAAAGTACTCGCCAGTACCTCCATGAAGGACACCAGAGATGGGACCAACCTACCTAAAGACAACGTTGCATCCAGACTGCATATGCTCCCCCTCTTGCTGTCTTTTTTTTAGCAAGAGTCTCTCTCGCATGTGTCAGGAGGATCCCCATCTTTTCCTCCTACAGAAGGTGCAACTCTCCATCAAAAAATATGGGTGTAGTAAGGGATGATTGGGAACCAACCTTTTAATTTGCCTTTTCATTATTTTTTAAAGCTTGTTAGTTGAGGTCAAGTCTTTGGAAACAATGTTCTCAAATATTCCCAGGGCTGGGCTAGGCTGGATATTCAAAATGCCCCGTTGTGAATGTGTAAACCCAACATCCCAGTACCTACTCATCGCTAGTCATATAGAATCCTCAGCTTGGGCCTCTTCCTAACCTTGGCACAACTGACATGTGTGCTGTGTGGGACTGGCCTATAGGGTGTAGTTAACCACACCCTTAGAGCCTTAGTAGTGTTCCCACCTCAGCTGTGACATTGACAAATGTCTCAAGCATTGCCAACTGTCATTTAGGATCAAATTACTTCCAGGTGAGAAAGCACTAGCCTTAAATTAATATTACCAAATGCAGCCAAATTTAAAAACGCCTTGATCTAGAAAGCATAATAGAAGTTGCTGGCCGCATTGCTATTTCTAACATATTCCCAAGTCTCAAGACTGTAGACACCCTGCAAACTGGGCAGCTCTTCAGTCCACAGGCTCACAGGCAAGATTTGGCTAAAACGAACTACTGCAGTTAGTACAACTCCTAAATACTTCCTAAATACTTCATTTACACATGCAAGAACATAAGACCAAAACATGTGACTATCATGTATAGCCCACACTCTACTAACATGTTTGCTACTATATATACATGTATAGATATAAAATTGTAAAAACCAATGTTGACATAAAACTTGGAGCAACATTTTGGGTGTGGCAGCTTCAATTGTGTCACATACATTCTGCAGCATATATGCAGACACCATGTCATCTGCTGCCCATGCCCCAATTTGTCTTGCTGGCAGCAAAATTTTTACATTGTCTACTTTCAACAGAACAGATTATTGACTGCCACCGGGGCACTGCTATTTTCTTTTCACCCTATGTTTTTCCAATGTGACTGAATTACTGTAAAAGTCTTAGAAAGAATGTATAAAGCCGTAAGAATATTTGAATATCATTATACTGCTAACTGTGGAAATGGAAGAGATACTTTGAATGGCATGCATGTACATATACACACATGTGAATATATACACATGCATCCATATCCTACTTGGAAACTATACATAACACACTTCCTTAGATCTATTATATGCATTCTTTGAGTCTCCCTATCATATACAGTATGTACATACTGTGTGCATGCATTCACAGTTTTAAAGTAGTTACCTCAGATTGCAAAAGACCTTCACTAAGAGCAATATTTGTGGTACCTTTTCCAAAGTTTTGGAAGTACTGAGATCCAGTATCCAAAGCTATATTAGTCTATTCATCTATCTATATTGTTCTATTATCTATCTAATATTA